AAAGCTCCTTCTAGTCTTGTTTGATTCCTATTCTCAGAAAAGGCAACAAGAGTAACTAAATGCCTAGTAACATACATCTCCATACTTATCAGCAAAATTTGACTAAATTGAGGGATTATGGTGGGCCAGCACTACTGTAGTTATTAGTTTTGTGGAAGGGAATGATTGCAGGTCATTCTTTTCTATTAAATGTTATCAAGCTGTCAGATAAATCATGAAGGAAAGTTTAAAAATTTGAAACAATCATCAGATGAAAAACCATCTAGATTCATTACAAACCTTACTTACATTAAAATAGAGTAAAATGAACAAAGAATAGTGCTCCAAGCAATCGATTCTGCTAGTGTTTCTCATTCAAAATGTCAGTGCTCCCATCAAAGGAAGGAGAAAGGAAAAATGAAGGCAGAGTGTATTTAGTTGTGGCAAAAGTACTTTTACAATTGCCCAGTAAAAGGAGGCACAGGGAGATACTGGAATACAAATGTGACAGTTTCATTATCTAGTACTGCTACCCATTCATCAACCTGACATTTTGATTCCATATATATTCCCCTTCATCCACCACCAAATCTGTCAGTCTGTTGGCCTCTCTCTCTTTCTATCTGGTCCCCAGGAAAAGAGGCTTAGGCCCAAATAAGCTGCCTTTTGAACTAAGTCATAACCTTGAACTTTGGTATCCATGCACCACTCAGTTTTATCCAAAAATAATATTGAATGATTTTAACATAAATTCCCCCCTTGAGTCTGAAGACCTCTTCTCCCAATCCCTTGAAGAGGATCTAGTCTTTAATCATGCTTCTGAATATTTTGTTAGGCCCATTTACGTACTTTCACAACTTTAACAAAAGCAAGAAGGCTTCTGGTGTCAGTTCAACCTGAACCTGCCTTTAATATCATTCAAGGTTGCTTATTTCCTGTCACATCCCTGTGACTTCTGGTCACTCTGAACCACCTCCTATCATATCTCTATGACTTCTGGTCACCCTGTCCCACCTCCTGAAAGAGTGACATTAAGTCAATTTAACTAGAAACCACCTTAGTCCTGAAGCATCATTTTTGTAAGAAATAGGATTTAAATTTAAGTCCTCAAGGAAGGGGTATTCCATTCCATTGTTACTCTGCATCTTGGCCAGAAAGCCCCATTTTCTAACTGTACCCAGAACTGAGTATAGTCCTTACGTTCCTTCTTGCCATATTCCAAAAGTCAATAATTTCTTTTCATAATTTCAAATATGGTGACCCTGTTATTTTTTTAAAGATTTGTTTTACCTCCAATTATGTATGTATGCATGCATGCATGTACCTATGTATGTATGTATGCATGTATGTATGTATGTATGTAAGTGTCTGTGTGGGTGTATGATCATGTTTGTATACAAGTGTCTGAAGAGGCCAGAAGAAGGCATCATATTTCCTGATACTGGGGTTACAAGTTGTTGTGAGCCTCTTGATATGGGTGCTGGGAAATGAACTCAGCAAGCCTCACACATGCTCTTAAACACTGTGTCTTCTCTCCAGCCCCCTTTTTAGTTTAGTTGCTGATTGTGACACTGATTTCTTTATTTTTGACATACTGTCTCATGTTGCTCTTGGCATCATTTATGTAACCAGTGATAACCTTCAATTTTTGGTCCTCTTGTTTCTTCCTCCCAGTATTGGGATGACAGGCATCTTCCCTAGACCCAGTTTGTGCAGTTTTGGGGCACAAGTATAGTGTTTTCTGTATGCTGGGTAAGCATGCTACAATGAGCTCCATTCCAAGGCAGATGGTTCTTCTTATTTTTTATAAAGAACTAGAGTTTTCTGAAAACAAAAATCTACAAACTCGTTAATCTTTTAAGATCCTCAGCATCCTTTCATGATTATTTCTTTATTAATTCCACAATAACACTGGATATGTAGGCAGGTATTTTTATCGCTTTCTTTCAAGTTATAAAATTGAGGTACTAAGAGGTCAGACTCAGAGATAATGAGTGTGGAAGTGAAGGCCTCCTAATTTCCAACCCTGGGTACCTTGCATTAAGATAGGGGTGATTCTCTGTGAGTTTCCACTGAGAATGTCATTGGTGGTTTCAGAATAGAAAAGTTCTAATATTTTTGTCTATGGAATCAAATTGTGCATCCAGCACTGTGTTAAGTAATATAGATTTGGGAATACAGAAGAAATCCGCAGAGCTAGATTATAAAAGGTTGACCCAGAGAAGAATAAACAAGTCCAAGCTGGCTTCTAGGCTTAAAATCAGAAATATCTAGAATAACCACCTCATAACTGTGTGACTCTAAATAAAGGACAAAAGTGCTCCAGTAACTGTAAGAATTTTTGTGTAATTTTTTGCCTCATTGCTTGCCATATGCTATGGGTTTGTATAAAAATTTCACTTTCCAACATTTAGGAAGGCAAGCTCCTTGCTTTAGTCTGTCAACTGCAAAAGTAGTCTTTAGCACTGCTTTACACAGTTCTTAAGTGAGGACTGGAGAATGGAGCATAAACAGATATACAATGGAGAAGTTGAAGACACACAAAATTAGATCCTATCATGCATATGTGTTACATAAATATTATAATGATTTAAAACAAAGAGCAGGAAAGAAGGAAATGGAGAGTTTTGACTTGTCAAACACAGATTAAATGATTTCTAAGTTTTACTTTGTTCTGAAATATTGCAGCAGGAAAATATCTACTTTATGTCTACCTCCTTCTTCTCATTCTAGAACAAACTCCCAAGACTCTAAGCTTTTGTGTCAATTATAGATGAGCGGCCATAGGAGGGCATTTTTACATTAAATTGTATTCTCAGGCAAGACATTGTCTTGTCCCCTCCTCTCCTTCACTCTGGGCAATAAGGAAGCAGGTGGGCATTGTTTCTTCAGGAAAGCACAGGCTTCTGTCTTTCCCATTTTATCTCCTGCTTACTCAGGACAGTACTAGTTAGCTGCCCCTGGGTCTTTCCATAGCAAAATCCTTTTTTTTCAGGTCTAATTTGTTGATTGAATGTGGACCCATGAGCATGTAAATTACACAAACTGATGATAAGATTGGAGAAATCCACATGACTCCCCTTAGGGCTTAAATTTAAATTCTGCTTATACCCAAATTGCTAGAGAGCCTTCCATGAGGAATTATCTGAGGCATGAGAAAATCTTCCTTTAAATGCATCCCTGCTTTCCATCTCCTGTTTTCTCTTGAAGATTAATAAAGCTCTGAGAAAATCTAGAGTAATAATATGTATGTGTGTGCCCATTGTGTGCCTCTGTGTGTGTCTTGTATGTCTATGTATGTGCCTCTGTGAGTTGATGTGTAACTGTGTGTGAACTCCTATGTATGTGTGTGTACCTGTGTGTGTGTCTATATGAGTTCCTGTAGTGTTCATGTGTGCCTTGTGTTCCTGTGTGTGCCAATAGTTGTTCACAACTCCACAGGAACAACAATGAGAAATTAATTGTCTATAGCATTGTGAATTTTCATGAAGTCACAAGACAAACAAACCTAATGAGAAGAAAATCTCAAGTAGAGGAAGAACACAGAATCTGCCTCAAATTTGGGAGTGCACAGAAAACAGATGGCTACCATCTCCACAAACAAGGAGTCAGCCACTTGAACAATAGTTTATTTCTCAGATGAAAATTACCCACAACAACCGACAGTGGACTGGTCACTTCATGGAATCTGTATGTAAAAAGTACGACAACATTGAAACTGCTGAAGTTGTATTTTACACCATTAGGCACTATGATGGAATCAGAAGGCTAACAAAAGTAACAAATCCCAGATCGGCTTTATCTGAATCTCATCTTTTTCATTTTCCCTTCTTAGGAGAATCTATTCTAAATCTCACAGTGAATCAGCTCTAGGTTGGTCATCTTGCCTAGGACTGCCTGGATAGAGAAAAGAAAAAGGATAGCAGAATTTAAGCAAGGCAAGACAGTTATTTTCTTCCAACTCAAAAAAGCATGTCCTGTCTTGTGAACATTCAATGACTCATCAAGAATTATAATTATCTTTCATTTAACTGTCCCCTGTGAGGTGCAATAGGAAGTTTCCCACAAACACAGTAAAGGTCATTACCAAAAGTTTTGATAATGTTTATATATGAAGTCAAATCCTCTCTAAGTAACTCCTAACATGGATGTTCCTCATTCTGGTTTTTAGAGAGATAAGGATAGTAGCAACCTACAACTTAAACTTATTGTGCTTAGGTTTCAAGTCATATTGAACTGACTGTCTCCATGCTTAGTGGGCAACAAGGTACCCACTGATATCCATGTTGGTAAAACCAAGTAAAATTTAAAAGGCTAAATATGGTATTTACCATTGAATTGTCACCACAGAACCTGGAATCAAGGATTATTAATTTTTACATTTGTTTATTATTTACTTGTGTTTATGCATATTTGTGGACAAATTTGTGTCATGTTTCATGTGTGGAGGTAAAAGTTCCTGGCACAACGACTCTGAAATTGATGGTAACTTAATGTAGGGTTGTCTGACGTGAATGTCTCCACCACACCAATGCTACTTGACTTGTGTCAAAACAGTGCTTCAGAATAAATTATTTGATCCCAGAGTGGAAACTGTTAAATAATGATCACAGGCTTATATACCAATTTAACATCTTTTGTAGTATTTCTCTCCCTTATATGTAGTTTCTTCTTTCAAGCCTGTAACTGAGTCAGCACAAATGTGTTTTGTTGCTTTTTCCTGACATGAGAAACAATAAACCCACGTATGGGATTTGATTCACAATCAAGCAAGTTTTAAAGTGTTACATAAACTGAAAATGATACAATATGAATTATGTCTTGCAATAAAGTATGTATCCCATCAGACACACTATGCCAAAGATGATGAGTTTACCAATACAGTTCTCTTGTTTTCATTAATATATTATATGTAGTTGTGCATGGCAATCACAGAACTGAGTTCTTGGAAAACAACCACATATTGATTGGACACTTTCCTCACTCTGAAGAGAAGAAACATTAAATCTCAAAGTACTTACAGCTGCTTGCCGATGCGTATTGGACAGTATCCCATGAATCTTCACTTTGTCTTTCTCCATTTGGTCTATGTTCACCCACAGATCTCGGCTGGCAGAATCCGTTGGGCCATATATCCGAGATATGTAATAATTGTGATCTGTGTCCTCCTGCATTGGTGGAAAATGATGAACATTAAGAACTTTAATGTTTCCACTAATTTTATTTAAGAGTTCTTCTGTAATTAAAGATATTAGTGATCTTCAATCTAGCAAATGGTTTAAATAGAATCTTAAAGAAGTGAATTGAAATGAAAAATGTAAAACAAGTCATCCTCTTTAGAAGAAACAGTTAAATAAAAAAACTCATAATCAAATTTATCATCTGTGCAACATCCATTTCTTTTTGGTCATAGTAATAGTAGACACTTAACTGCTAACAAGACAAAAATGTCTGAATTAGAAATATTTACAGAAGATCAGAGCTATAATTACACTGAGTGATAACAAAATTAATTTATTCTTTAAAATTATATTTGGGGCTGAATTTAGTTAATGGTTCTAGAAATTCAGATAATTGCTTAATTTGGGTTATTATAATCTAATTTTATTTGGATTTTCATTATGTGTCTCATACAGTGCTTTGCACAGAAATTTTATTTCTCATGTTTCAAGCTCAATGGGGAAAGTGAATGTTTTAAAAACATATGACACTTGGATAAAACAGATCATATACATGTATTAGCTACAAAATGCAACGAAGCCCATGAGGGTCTTCAGATACTTCTTCCATGGTAAGCATTTGCCAGGCAAACACTACAATCTCTGTTTGGGTCTCAATTACCCAATACAAGTCAGACATTTCACACACATCATTTTAAAAAATATTTAATTTCACATTTAATTGTATGCATTAATATGCATTTTTCTGATGTGTTAGTATGGACACATCAGTAATGGTGTCTTTGGAGGCCAGAAGAGGGTACTTGATACCTTTGTGGCAAGAGTTACAGGCACATGTGAAGTGTCTAACTGGAGTGTTGGGAACCCAACTTGGGTCCCCTGGAGGATCCATTGAGCCATCCTTCCAAACCCAAGGAGATGTGCTTTTTCATTCAGAATAATGAAGGGGGTGTGAACAGGATGATAACTGGATTTCACTGGCCAGCCAGGTGTCCTGTCTGTGATCTCCACAATCAGTGGGCAACTCTGACTCAAAAAATATAAATAAAGCTCTTGAACTATAGAGAAAGACAACCAACATTGACCTCTGGCCTCTGTATATATTTCTACACATATGTGCATCCAGTGCCCTGAAATGTACATATGCCCCATGGATATGTATGACTACATGAAAACACGTATAGATAAATGAAATGGTGCTTATCAATTTGAGGTGTCACTAAATTGAACACATCTTAAGACAAAAAAATATGGAGGTAAGATTGCCTATGATTTGGGCAATAATGTTTTGGGAGTGAGTTTTGTCTAATAAATTTATTATCAGAGTGTTACTGGAATAAATATGAAGCATCAAGTCATTCAGTCAAGACCAGAATCCCATGTATGCATTTACAGATCATTAGGTTAATGTGTACAACAACTGATTATTGAAAGTAAAAGAATGCTGAGCTGAGTTCTAACCAGTAACCAAAGGGATTTAGCATCATTATTAAAAGAAATAATACAATTCATCATGCAAATACCAAGGGGGATGGATGCTAACCAGAATTGAGTTTTTGCTTTAATAAAATTTACAAGTAAAATTCTAGTTCTATTTTGGGTGCAAGAAACTTGTGCAGAGAAAGAAGAAAAGAGGAGACTCAAAGGACAGAGAATGAGATGTCCTGAATCTGGGATGATCCTTATAACAAAACACATAAGGACCAAAAGCATTGTGTTGGTGGTTCAGTATCTGTTCAATCTCACTCTCTGTTGCTGTCCCACTTCTTCACAAATGGAACCTTGTATAACTTGTTAAAAGGCATCAGTTTGGAATAGTAAATATTATGATAACTTATTTAGTTTTAATGAATATTAGAAAAGATGGTTTTGGAGAAAATGCTAAATGTTAGTTTATTACAAATTTATTTTAAACTGTAATAAACTCAGTAACACTAAATTCCACAATACAATCTTCAGGCATACTGTGTAACTGGTTCTATGATGTGCTGAAATTCACATAGAATTAATAATGCATAAAGTTTTACCAATTAAGAGTAGAGTTCAACATAAAGATAGAAGTTAACAATGAAAAGAACTGGGAAAGGACTAGTTTTCTCCTTAATCTCTGTAATATTTAAGCAAATAATTTGTAGTTATCATGATGCATAACAATGTAACAACATAATGAATTATCTGCAAAATTATGCACAACTTGGGCTGTAATATGTATCACTGATGGCGCTATGTGAAATGATGCCTTTAATTTTCAGCTAAATCAGGAATTTCTCAAAAGAATGCCAGGTCTTGAAAATACTGAAGTTAAGCTAAAGACTTGGTACTGACTTCTATAGCTCAAACTTGCCAAGTTGTCATGGCAACTTTTATTCAAAGATGAAAGCAATTTATTGTTTACCTACGGAAGTAGACACACAAATTGCTAAATCCCAGAGTGGTGTTTGTCTCAGACACTCAGAAAAGCCATAAAACAGATGTCTAAAAATGTGAAATTTTAGCACCAATAAATTATTCAAACTATTTTTTGTCATTTTTAGGCATAATGATACTTAAAGAGCCATTGAAAGGCACTCTGGACACAAAGATTTTCATTTTCTCCTCTAAAACAAAACTTGTTTCTAATACCAGAGACAATAAAGCAAAGCACCACTGTGATGTGCCTACTTGCCAATACATTTAGGAAAACAACTGTTACTGAAAGTAGATGGCTCAGTGGGTGAATCTAAATGCTATAAACTCAGGTTGTCAAAAACTGCCTGCAAATCTGCAGCTGTTAGGCAACATAGAGCATTCTCCAAGCCATTCTGAGGATGTCACCATAGCTACAGACATCCTACAAGAATGAGTCTACACAACCCAACCTCAGTGTTCTCTTCTGCCATTGCTATTGAAAGATATCATTACACACTGTATTTTCAGATAATGCACGTTTCTAGATGCAGCTATGACATCTGCTTTTAAAGTACATTTCATTGAGGACTACAAGAAACTGACATGTTATTGTATAGTCATTCATGTGCTAGTAATTTGATATCTGGATACATTTAGTATAATCAAGAGTTATAAACAAAGTCATTTAGCACTATATTTAAGGCTACTAAATAAATATTAGTCTATAATAAATAGGATTTTAATGATCTTTACACATGTGGAGGGTTGCTTTATTTTTGTAAGAATGCTTTTCCTTGGGTGTAATTATTTATTTAAACATAAATACATTTTAAGTACCGTGTGTAAATTAAACTTTCTGGATATAAATATAGAAAAAACTACTTCTCTGTGATTGATGTGCTACTGTATGAAAGTAAGAGGTGTGATAAATAACAAAATCCAAAGAAAGACAGTAGTGAGAGTACTAAAAGAAAAAAAATAACTTGTGAGAAATGTAAATGCATGCATACTCTGCCCACACAGTCTTGGGAACAAACAGCATAAAATAGAAAAACTCAGTGAGAAAGACCATCTAAGACAGATACTATGGGATAAATGTTGTTGACCCTGACTCAAAATCCATATATTACAGACTCAACTCCCAGCAAGCTTATAATTTTTCAGAGTGTCTTTATAGGGGCAACTGAAGTTAAGCAATGCCACAATAGTGGAAAACTGACAAGACAAGCTTGAAGGAGGCATGAATTTTTTTCCTTTGCCTTCTGGCTATACCTCTTCTCTTCCTCTTTCCCTCTTATTCTCTCTTTCCTTAGGAAAAGTCCTCAGAAAATTTACAGCAAAATTGGATATGCTGTGAATTTTCCTCTGATAATTCTTCCCCTCTTCTTTCCCTTAACAATTTTTCTAGAACCTACTAAATAGCTAGGCCTAGAATTCATGGCAACCTCCCAAGTGCTAGCATTATGGGTTTGCATCACCATACTTGGCTCAAAGAGCAATTATATAGGTACCTAAAACAGACAAGTCAGGTAATAAAGCAGAATAAGGAAACACTGGAAATTTTAACACCATTATAACATTCCTTGGAAACAAAATCTAAAAAAAATCTCAGAAAGTGAACTTGTGATTAAAATTATTTCCTCTAAAAGTTATATTTTAAAAAAGGCAGCATGTTTCTAATACACATAGATGCAGAGAAAATATGCCACCAATGTGAAATTCTTAAACATGTAATACCAACTATCAAATCAACCAGGCAGTAATTAAATTGCCCACCATAGTGATTTCAGTGAGTAATTAGTTATATGAGGCCCTGGTTCTAGGTAGGAGTGCAGAAGGTCTGATGATGAGCCCTGACTCTGTGACAAGACTACTTCGAAAAAGGTCACATGCAATTATTGCAATTATAAGCAGGTATGTAATTTCTTTCCATGGTGAATATGTGGTGATAATATTCAAATTGTTTTGTGTTGACTGTGAAATGCCCCTCACAAGGCTCATGTCTTGAATGTTTGTTCTCTAGCTGATGACACTATTTGGGAATCTTGTGGGACCATTAGGAGGTGAAGCTCAGAAGAGGGAAGTAGGTCCCAATAGGCAGACCTGTGTCCTGTCTTGTCAGCTGTTTCCTGGTCCACTAAGATTTGAACTGCATCTTCCATATGACCCTGTGCCATGAACTGAGATGCCCTGCTATGCCTTCACTATCACAATGAATTTGAGTCTTACAAAACAGTGACCCAAATAAACCTTTCCTTTAGTTCCTTTTGTTTCTGTTAGGCATTGTGATCAGAAAATAGTTAATACACTGACATGATTTGTCCATGATTCATAGCAGTTAATTAACAGATGAACCTGAAAGCATAGAAATACTTGGAACAAAATTTTTAATTTTTTTAAGGTCACCATTGGAGGCAGAAATCTGAAACTGAATATTTAGAGTTATGTACATGTCACCAAAGGTCAGAACAAAAAAATTAAACTCATTACTTTACTCAATATAATACCCATGCACATCTAAATTTAATAAATTACATTAACCTAAATGTGACTATATATTTTTTGTTCTTTGCTTCTGCGTACTGCCTGATTATAAGTTT